TATATTATATTTATAACAATTTATAATATCACTCAATATTATAGATTTATAATATAATATATTTATTAATTTTTTTATTTATAAATTTATTAATACTATTTTTTTTTTTGAACAGGGGGAATGTGAAAGGAGGGAGAAAGAGGTTACACACTACAACTTTGAATTCTGATCAAAATCATGAGTTTAAGTGTATTCGATCAAAACAGTCGAAGCTACATGTGCAAATTTATTAATATTAATATTATTAGATATATTTACTTTTTAAAATCATATTATACTAACTTATAATCATATTTATTTAAGTCGATCAACTTTAAGTTTTAAATGTGGCTAATAACTTAAGTAATTTAATATTTCTTTTTGTTTAAATTAAAAATCTTAAATTAAAATTGTATGATATACTAGTAAAGTGAAATAAAAATAGAAAAATAATTACTTCTCAAGATCAAAAAAGAAAAAATTTCTAAGTGTGGAATTGTATTGAGTTATATCTGTAGGATTGCCGCCCAAAAATAATCAACCAGCCCCTTTTCCTAGCTGTACACAGCTCGATAAAAACTATTTCTGGTTTTCTGAAGAAGAAAATAACATGAAGAATAAATTAACAATTTTCTTCCTTCAAATCTGTGAACAGAAATTCAACTATTTTCTAACTCATAAAACCAATAATAAAATTTTCATCTTCGATCCATGGCTTCCCGTCGCCGAATGCTTTTGAAGGTCATAATTCTCGGAGACAGCGGGTAATTTCATCATTATTTTTCGTCAATTATGATTCTTACTTTAAATTTGATAAATTCGTTCATATTCTGTATTATATCTTGGAATCCATTTCGAAATTCTAACTCCTAATATATTTTGTTCTTTGATTTTCTTCTCTAGGGTTGGCAAAACATCTCTCATGAATCAGTATGCTCCAGAACCTCGGACCTCCAATTGATTTTTTTTAATATATTAATTTTGGATTTTTTATTTCTGGTGTTGTGTTCTTGATTATTATTGATTAGGTTTGTTAATCGAAAGTTTAGTAATCAATACAAGGCAACAATAGGTGCTGATTTTTTGACAAAAGAGGTTCAATTTGAAGATAAGTTATTTACATTGCAGGTAACAATGTTTTCTTTTCTTGATTTAATTATATTATATCTATGCTGGGTCAATGAATCTTTACCAAATTGTTGATCTCACACTTGTACTTGCCCATTGATTCAAATGGTTATGGTGTTGGGTGTATCGATTGTATGCTTGTTTTTTTGACATTGATATCTATTTATGTTGGGTAGATATGGGACACTGCTGGACAGGAAAGGTTTCAAAGTTTGGGTGTTGCTTTCTATCGTGGTGCAGATTGCTGTGTTCTTGTGTATGATGTGAATGTTATGAAGTCATTTGATAATCTTAATAATTGGCGGGAAGAGTTTCTGATTCAGGTAGTTTGTGTTTAATTGCAGCCAGTGGTTTTTTTAATAGGAAGAATGATTAAAACGATTGTGTTTTGTGGTACTGATGTTCAGGCGAGTCCATCTGATCCTGAAAACTTTCCATTTGTTGTGTTGGGGAACAAGATAGATATTGATGGTGGCAACAGTCGAGTGGTAAGATGACTTTTTTCTGTACAACTTTCAATTTTTGGGGTTAATGTGTACGGGTCTTTAATGCTGCAAATATTTCAGGTTTCTGAAAAGAAAGCTAAGGCTTGGTGTGCTTCAAAGGGGAATGTACCTTATTTTGAGACCTCTGCAAAAGAGGGATTCAACGTGGATGCTGCTTTCGAATGCATAACCAGAAATGCACTAAAGATTGAACCTGAAGAAGACATGTAAGTCTGGTTGGCATACTTGTTTTTATAATAATGTAAGTCTTGATGATATGAGGTCTTACAAAGTTTACAGAAATCATCATAGGTAGATTGTACAGAATGGTATCTAATAGAAAAATATGGTCAGTATGCAGATTGATCATTCATCTAAAGAAATTAATATAAAAAAGAAAAGAAAAATAACAAAATAAACTTAAATTTGGGAGTGAAACATATATGTTAATTGGAGCTGCGAAGCTAGAAATGAAAATTAATTTGCTATTCTGTGTTTTTAATCTCTTGTTGGATAATGAAATCCATGTAGTGGGCTCAGTTGGAGCTGTGTTGCCGTTATGCTGTCATGTTTTCCTACAAGGTTATGTCATGTTTCGTTCTTAAATTGTGATTTGGATCCCGTTGAAGTTTTTTCATCAACCTCTAAGATTTTTGGTAAAGATAAGCCTGTTTATATATCTTGATTTTTGAATGCCAATCTGCCTCAAATTTGCATCTAGTCGACCAACATGAATGCCTCAAAAAAATTGCTTCACTCTTCATAGCAGTATTGCTCCCACTCTCTCTTTATTGCTTGATATGTTTACAAATTTTAGCTTAGGTGCATCTCCCTCTATTGTCATGAGTTGTTGTCTCGTAGACAATGCAAAGTTCATTCAGTTGTTCTTGTAATTGAATAACTCGCTTCTTCTCCATAGTCTTTACTGGGCTTTCAATGAACATATTATATAAGCTTCATGGATTGTGAGTGCTGACTGACTTTATTATATTCTTGTTTGTTGATGAAAAAATTAGATACGTTCCTGAAACCATAGATGTCACGGACGGAGGACAGCAGCAAAGATCAACTGGATGTGAGTGCTAAGAAGGTCATGGAAGTGTGGCTCCTTTGCTTGCAATACAAACTGCAAGCAAAGTTCCCATCCATAACGGCAGGCTATAGCAATCCATAAACCAGGAGAAGCATTTTTATAGTCAATTTGTATATCTTAAACTTAAACGCTTCTTGAGTTCTTTATTTCTTTTTATTTCCCTTCTAAATTTGATTCTTCTATTTATTTACTTTTTTTTTTTTTATTGTTTAGTATATGCATGGAAGTTATTGTACTTATAATCTAATGCACTCAAATGTTCTGTAATATTTGTTTGAGATGAAAATTTTCAACTCAACGGGATGTATGAAATTGCAATGATTTCTTGTTATCTTGAAGTGTTTATCTTTGTAAAATATGAAATACCTTGTGATTTTCAAGTATCAACATTACTCATCCTACGTGAGTATAACATCTGTCCGACAGGTGACAGATGTCAAACTGTAGCTCCACGTGGCTGTTGAGCTGGATAATTAGCAACTTTTACGCACAGAATTGTAACGAACTCGGGGTTGGGGCATGGGCCAGGACCTAGACCAATAGGAAGAACTCTCCAGGGCTTGTGTGGTTTCTGTGTAGAAAAATAACCATAACAATTGCATCTTATATCTGAACCTTCCTCCGAGCCAAGGTCAGAACTCAGAAACTCCATTTTCAATCTTTCAGACAGTTTTGATTTCTTGTTTGAAGGAAGTAGAATCGGGTTTGCCCTTTTTCGGGAGATTTTTATTTATCTAAAAAGGTCCATGGAGGCCGAAAAGGAAAAAGAATCGGTGGGATTACTGGACAAGATCCTTCCTCCCCGCCTCGAAGATGCAGGGCTTGAGGACTGCGCCCTTCCGGCTGAATCAATACACGAAGCGTTCCTCAAAGCTGCCTCTGCTGTAAAGTCACGCGC